CTGCGGCCGCTCTCCCTGGACAACCTACAGCGGTCCCAATTGCTGGCCAGTCCAAGGAACCCCACCCATGCATGAATTTGTGCACCGGGCCTCTAGTACTCAATAAGAAAAGACTGAAAGCTTTTCCCCTAAAATGAGGAAAAAGGCAAGGATGTATGGGTTAGCTACTTCTATTCAATACTGCATTGAAAGCTCCAGCCAGAGAAATTAAACAAAAAGAAATAAAACATAACCAAATTGGAAAGGAAAAAGTAAAACTATCTCTATTTAGGCCAGAGATTTTCACTCTTTTTTTCTCATGGCACACATAAACTAATTACTAAGTGAAAAGAAGTAAGTCCCCCTTTCCCTTAGTAATTGCATGTTCTAAAATTTTTTGGTGTGCCATGGCACACCAGTTAAAAATCAGTCATGGGCAACAAAGATGCTATATATAAAAAAAATCCTTAAATTTCCACAATACATTAGAACTAGTAAACAAATTCAGCAAACTTGCAGATACAGGATTAACACACACAAATTGTACACATTAGCATGTAAATTCCATTTAACATAGCATCAAACAAATAAAATATGTAGGAATGTATTTAACCATGGAGACGCAGACTCATACAGTGAAAGCACAAAATATTGGAAACAATTTTTTAAAGAACTAAAACAAATGGTTTTAAAAATGAAAGCCCTGGCCAGTGTGGTTCAGTTGGTTGGGCATTGTCCCATGCACTGAAAGGTTGCAAGTTCGATTCCTGGTCAGGGGACATGCCTGGGTTGTGGGCTCGATCCCCAGTAGAGGGCATGCAGGAGGCAGCCAATGGATGTTTCGCTTTCATCAAAGTTTCTATCTCTCTCTCCCTCTCCCTTCCCCTCTCTCTCTAAAAAAAAAAAAAAAAAAAAAATCAATAAAAAATCTTAAAAAATGGAAAAACATTTTGTGTTCATAGTCTGGGCGACTTAATATTGTTAAGATGGTAAAACTCCCAAACTGTCTATAGATTTATTGCAATCCCTATCAAAATCCCAATGGCCTTTTTTTTGCAAAAAATGGAAAAGTTGATCCTAAAATCCATACGGAATAGCAAGGAACCAAAATATTTAAAACAATCTTGAAAAAGAAGTTGAAGACTCGCACTTCCCAATTTCAAAACTTACTAAAAATCAATAGTAATCAAAATAGTGTAGTATTGGCATAACAATCCATATATAAATCAATGGAATAGATGAGAGCCCAGACATAAATCCACAGAAATTATGGTCAACTAACTTTCAACAAAGGTGACAAGACCATTCAATGCAGAAAAGAATAGTCTCTTCAACAAATAGTGTTGGGACAACTAGATAGCCACCTGCAAAACAATAAATCTGGACACTTGATACCATATGCAAAAATGAACTCATGAGATTAAAGACCTAAATTTAAGAAATAAAACCAAAAACTCTTACAAAATATAGGTGTAAATCAACATGAATTCCAATTTAGTGATGGTTTCTTAGCTATGACACCAAAAGCACGAGACAAAAAGAAAAAAAAATAGGTTAACTGGATTTCATTAAAATGAAAACTTTTGTGCATCAAGAGACCATCAACTATAATTGAAAAATAAATTTTAAAGAGGGCACTTTAAAATGAGTGAAAAGACAACTCACAGAAGAGGAGAAAATATTAGCAAACCATTATATCTGCTAAGGGTCTAATATCCCTAATATATAATGAATTCTTACAACTCAACAACATAAAGACAAACCATTTACAAAATAGCCAAAAGACTTGAATAGACACATTTCCAACGAAAATGTACAAATGGCTGACAAGTACATAAAAAGATGCTCAACATCATTAGTCATTAAGGAAATGAAATTCAAAAACTACTTTATGCCCACTAGGATAGCTATAATAGGAAAAACAGAAAAAAAACAAGTGTTGATGGGGGTGTGGAAAATTTTAAATTCTTGTGCATTGCTCTTGGGAATGTGAAATGGTGTAGCAGCTAAGGAAAAGTTTGGTGGTTCCTCAATAAGTAAAGCATTGTAATGCCAATATAACCTAGCAATTCCACTCCTGGGTATAATAATACAAAGGCATGAAAACAGGGAACTGAACAGATATTTGTATATAAATCGTCTTAACAGCACAATTACCAAAAGGAGGAAACAACCCAAATGTCCATCAACAGAATGAATAAAATGTGGCACACACACACACACACACACACACAAATTATTATTGAAGCATAAAATGAAGTACTGCAACATGCTACATCATGGAGAAACTTGAAACATCAGTGCTAGGCAAGAGAAACCAGACACAAAAGGTCACATATTATATGATTCCATTGATATGAAATATCCAGACTAGGCAAACCATAGACACAGAAAGCAGACTAGTGTTTTCTAGAGGCTGGGTAGCTACTGTGGAGTTAATGCTGAATGAGTAAAGGGTTTCCTTTTGGGATGATGAAAATATTCTGGAGCTAGAGAATGGTGATGGTGAATGTACTAGTCACTGAATTGTACACGTTAAAATGGTTAAAATGGTAAATTTTACATTGTATTTTACAATAAGTTATTTTTAAAAGTTTTACAAAATTTTCTTACAAAAATTAGAGGATGTGAGAATCTGTTCTATTTAGTTTGTAAAACTATCAAATTTTAATGTGTCTCTATAGCACATTCTTATATTCTACATCAAAAAGGTTCTACAAGCCTTAGCCAGTTTGGCTCAGTGGATAGAGTGTCAGCCTGCGAACCAAAGGGTCCTGGGTTTGATTCCGGTCAAGGGCATGTACCTTGGTTGCAGGCTCCTCCCTGACCCAGGCCCTGGTCAGGGCATGTACAGGAGGCAACCAATAGATGTGTTTCTCTCACATCGATGTTTTTGTCTTTCCCTCTCTCTTCTACTCTCTTTAAAAATCAATGGAAAAATATCCTCAGGTAAGGATTAAAAAAAATAGTTCTACAAAAAAAAAAGGTTAGATTTAATTTTTTACTATGCCAGACAAAAATTCTAAGGCCTATCCTACATAATAAAGAGCTAATATGCCAGTGATGGCGAACCTTTTGAGCTCGGCGTGTCAGCATTTTGAAAAACCCTAACTTAACTCTGGTGCCGTGTCACATATAGAAATTTTTTGATATTTGCAACCACAGTAAAACAAAGATGTATATTTTTCATATTTATTTGATATATTTAAATACCATTTAACAAAGAAAAATCAACCAAAAAAATGAGTTCATGTGTCACCTCTGACACACGTGTCATAGGTTCGCCATCACTGTAATATGCAAATGGTTGTCACACTCTCACGCCATAATGGCTCAGGGACTCAACACTGGGGAGAGAGAAATGGGGACCAGCCAGGCACAAATGAGCTCACGAGAGAGGAATGAGGACCAGTCAGGCGGCAGCCCGGGAGAGGGACAAGTTGCCTGCCCCGCGGTCCTGGGTGCCAACACCTGTGGCTGCAGCCAGAGGGAGGGACAAGCCATCTGCCCCGCTGTCCTGGGCGCCTGTGGCCCAGGCGAAGCCACCTGCCCACGGTCCCCTGCGGCTGCGGCCAGCCCAGGCGAAGCCAGCCCGGGTTCTGGGTGCCTGCGGCCAGTCAGAGGGAGGGAACCCGGGTCCCAGGTGCCTGCGACTGGCTGGAGGAGGGAATCCTGGGTCCTGGATGCGGGGCGAGGCAGAGGTGGTTAGGGGTGATCAAGCCAGCAGGGGAGCAGTTAGGGGCGATCAGGCCAGTAGGGGAGCAGTTAGGGGAGATCAGACAGGCAAAGGTGGTTAGAGGCAATCAAGCAGGCAAGCAGAGGTGTTACGGGTGATCAGGCAGGCAGGTGAGCAGTTAGGAGCCAACGGTCCTGGATTGCAAAAGGCAGTCAGACATCCCCTGAGGGGTTCCAGATTGGAGAGGGTGCAGGCTGGGCTGAGACGCCCCCCCATGCACAAATTTCGTGCACCAGGCCTCTAGTTAAATATAGAAATATATTATACGTTCAACAAAGAGATGCCTTTTTTTAATAGCAAGGAAAATAATTGAACAAAGTGTTAAATCTGAACCAAGTGTTTCAAGGTGAACAAATCTCTTCATTGCTCAAATGCAAATTTTTTTTGTAGGAAACTGAAAAATATTAATGGGGTATATAGCTTTGAAAATAAACATAAGCTATAGCATATAAAGCATAATTATCCAAATTCCCATTAGTAATGCTCCTTTCTTTTTAATGAACAATTTGTTTTGGCAATTTTCTGTAGATGAGAGAACAGAACATGTTCATAACACTCCTGTCATTCACAGCATTAAACAGAATGATTTTCAAAACAAAATAAAAACATCTACTGTAAAAAAAACAACAACCTTATGAATGCTGAGATTAAAATAAACAACTTCTGAAAATCTTCAGCAGCAGATGCCTAAATAGAATAAACTGATTTCCTGAACTGTACACACATATACAAGATAAGACTTTCCAGTATGGCAAGACACCATGTTGAGGCCTTTCAACAGACTCAGGAACTGGGTTCTAAAAGGCTTCTTAATTTCCGGTTTGGTAAAATTCTTCAGTAGAGTCTTACTGTGAGAGTATATGGCCTAGAACTCATAATAACAGAAAAGGTAGATCAAGAGCCATAACTAAAACAAAAGTATTTAACCTTTTATCTTCCCCTCAAGGTAAATCTATAGTAGTTTCATATTGACTTTATGCAACTATTTGACTTTGAGGATTTGAATGAAAGAATGTTTATACTTCTATTTGATTTTTCTAAAATGATATTTAAGAGTATCTAGCCACCTTGAGGATTCCTGGAAATTTTACTCACCCTTTACCATACCCTCCTCCCTCTGCACATTCCTATGCTATTACCACTAAACCACCACAAAAATGAACTTTTTAAAAAAATAACAGAATTGATGTGAATCCAGTCAAAGAAATCACTAGGAAGAGTTTAGGGTCTGCAGTTTTATAACTTTCTTTACAACATTTGAATTTTAAAGGTCTTCTCTAGAAACTTTTTTTAAATAAAACTTTTATTGGAGAAAAATAGAACCACCACGTACACAGGAAAAAGAACGCAAAAATTCAACCGATACAGAACTGAAAAGTCACAATTACCCAATGTTTGCAATTACTTTTCAATTTCTTAAACAGTTCTACTCAATTTGTTTTTAATAGCCTTGTCAATTTTTCAAATGAACCAGCATCAAGTTTTCAAACATTAAGAGCCTCAGAAAAGGGACCAGCTTTCAAGATGATGAAGGTGGCACCAAGAGTCTCCTCCTAACAGGACCGATTCTATATAATTTTGTAAAAGTAACTACCAAGTCTTGTGGAACTATCTACATATCTCAGAGACCATCAAGGATGAGTTAGAACACTGATGTAGATGGTCCAATATGGAGAAAAGGCAAACAAAGTAGTTGTATTTCCTGGTCAGATGACCTCATATAAGGAAACACCAGAAGAGCTGAGAATATAAAGGTAATGACTGTTCAAAAGAAAATTAGGAAGGCATTCAAAATACCACATATTGTTACACAACAGTGTGCACACTGACGCAATTAGAGACACAGGCAACTGTGTTAAAATAACTGTTCACAGGTCTTTGAGAATTCAAGAAAAAAAATACCAGACACAAAAACCAAGTCTCTGGCTAGAACCTAGGTATTCTTCCTACCTAATGACTCCAAATAGTAAAGGAAATAAACTACTGCAAAAACAGTTCTAATTTTTAAAAACAAGAACAAAATTTTCTGCTTTTCCTTTGTGATCGATTAATTTCAAAACTTCAAGAAAAAACAAATACAAAAGAAAAAAAATACCACTGGTGGTAAAGATAAGCCTTTTACTCACAAGATCAATTTGAAGAACAATACTTTTGCTATATTCTATATAATCTGAATAATCCTAGGATATTCCCCTGAAAAGTAGGTGCCTGGTCATTGTAAGAATTCTTCAAACAATTTTGAAAGGAACAAGATCAGCATGAAATAGAATTTGAAATTCCCAACTAGTGGATGTGTGGAGAAAATGAGAGGGCCTTTACATCTAGGGCTATAGGACGTTAGAATAAAAATGACAGTAAAGGCTTATTTACCAACAGAGTTAGGGTGCTTCCCAAAAAAAAAAACTTTGGTAATAAAAAATAGGAATGCTAAATCCTAAAAAGCCTGTAACAATCTACAATTGGTCCAAATTAAACACAAAACTGTTCAAGCAACATTAAAGTCTAAAGGAAGTTGAAAACTACCTGATGAATTTTTAGTTGTGTAAAAATTTACAAAATATGCGGGTTTTGGTCTCTTTTGCAATGTTCATATTGTATTCATTTTTAATATGAAGTTGGATTTTTCTCTCCTATTTTGTTCTTCTAGTACAAATGATCAGCAATTTTCTATTTCAGCTATTTTTATAAGTACCTGTTAATTAGCACAGTAAACTCAAGGCTAAGCCATATACACACATCTCACAGCCATAAATGGAACATTTGAGGATGTGTATATACAAGAGATTATATAAGCAACTGTCCCTCTACTTGAAAACTTGTTTCCAAATAAAATTTTCAAAGCATCCCTTTGAGTGTAACAGAACATTACTTAGTAAAATGGAATTAGTTGAGACAACTTTTTTTTCTTTTCAAGGGAAATCACAAAACAGGTGAACAACCAAATCCAGGGTGGTTTTTCTATTTGATAAATACATCCAGAACTCTGTACAGTAAATAAAGTTTGCATGCAGTTTAAGTATCTTTAAATGACATATTAAGCAAATAAACCTTTGCTTCATAATTAACGGTGTATAAGAACCCCCCGTTTTTAATAGCCATAGGGACCTCTTCCCTATTTCCAAAGAGGAATCATGAAGACCAAGTACTTTCTTAAGATTTTTCTGCACATCATACTAAATAACATGCAAAGAGTTTAACAACATTCTTCTTAAAGGTAAGTATTACTCTTTTAATGGGCATGTTAACCACTGAAAATGTCCACTCAACTATTTTCATTACACTGCTTCATTTGGTCATCGGTAGTATAAAAGAATTCAAACAATATAGGGTCAACAAGTTAAGTTTATCCACTGGCTACAGCATGAAACACAAAATGCTCCAAGGCCAAACTTTTATGCAATGTAGTTGTACTGATTTGGGTTTTCTTTATCTCTTTCCATGTAGTCCCGGTCAATTAAGGATTCTATTCTCTTCTTTAGATCAGCAGGCTGTAAGAGAAAGCAAATTTTCAGTGCAAAGCTCAGAGTCACTGGCTCAAGTCCATTTACCAACACCCCATTAAAAAAGGAACAGCCTGCCCTAACTGGTTTGGCTCAGTGGACAGGGCGTCAGTCTGCGGACTGAAAGGTCCCAGGTTCGATTCTGGTCAAGGGCATGTACCTTGGTTGCGGGCACATCACCAGTAGGAAGTGTGCGGGAGGCAGCTGATCAATGTTTCTTTCTCATCGATGTTTCTAACTCTCTATCCCTCTCCCTTCCTCTCTGAAAAAACCAATAAAATATATTTTAAAAAAAAGAACAGCCCTAGTTGGTTTGGCTCAGTGAATAGAGCTTCGGCCTGCGGACCAAAGGGTACCAAGGTCGATTCCGATCAAGGGCACATACCTTGGTTGCAGGCTCTTCCTTAGCCTGGGCACTGGTCAGGGCGGGTGCAAGAGGCAACCAATTAATGTGTTCCTCTCACATCAATGTTTCTCTCTGTCTTTCCCTCTCTCTTCCACTCTCCCTAAAAATCAATGGAAAAATATCCTCTGGAGAGGATTACAATAATAATAATTTTAAAAAGGAACAGTTTGGTTGTTAATCTCCTTAATGTTTTTTAATTTTCACTTTTTGTTTTTGTTAATCCTCACCTGAAGCTTTTTAAAGTATGTTTTTGCTGATTTCAGAAAGGAAGGGAGAAGGGGGGGGGGGAGAGAGAGAGAGAGAGAGAGAGAGAGAGAGAGAGAGAGAGAGAGAAAGAGAGAAAGAGAAACATCAATGATGAGAGAATCATTGATTGGCTGCCTCCTGCACACCCCCTACTGGGGATTGAGTCCACAACCCACGCATGTGTCCTGACCAGGAATCAACCATGACCTTCTGGTTCATGGGTCAATGCTCAACAACTGAGCCACATTGGCCGGGCACCTGAGGATATTTTTTCCATTGATTTTTATAGAGAGTAGAAAGGAAGGGAAGGAAGGGAAGAAAGGGAGGGAGAAAGAGGGAAAGAGGAAGAGGGAGGGGGAGGGAGGGGGGGAGGAGGGGGAGGAGGAGGAGGAGGAGGAGGAGGAGGAGGAGGAGGAGGAGGAGGAGGAGGGAGGGGAGAGAGAGAGAGAGAAACATTTATTGATGTGTCAATTCCTGACAGGGATGGGGTTCGAACCTGCAACCCAGACAAGTGCCCTCAACCTTTTGGTGCTTTGGTCAACATTCTAATCACTAGGCAACACCAGCCAGGGCTAATTTTTACTTTTTAAAATCTCAACTTTTTAAAAGATAAAGTATAATGGAAATAAACCAGTTAAGGAATATTTTAAACTATACACATACTGTCACACCTTGCCATATTACTATGCAACACTTTCTACTTTAAAGAGGTCTTCTAAGAACCAGCTATTCTCTGCACAAATACAAGAAAATTAACTCATAACTTCACATGAGAAATACATTATATGTTTAGGGAGACAAAATGCTATTTAATTTTGCCAAGATAGGTTGAAAAGACAGGTAAACCTTAAATTTGGGCAAAAAATAGTTCTCAAAGTCAGGTTGCATTTTTATTTTTAAAAAATGTATTGGCGCCCAGCATTGTGGCTCAGTGGTTGAGCGTTGACCTATGAACCAGAAGAGTCACGGTTCGGTTCCAGGTCAGGACACAGGCCCAGGTTGTGGGCTCGATCCCCAGTTTAGGGCGTGCAGAAGGCTGCCGATCAATGATTCTCTTATCATTGATGTTTTTCTCTCCCTCTCCCTTCCTCTCTGAAATCAATGGAAATATATTTTTTTAAAAAGAAGTACTGGCCCTGGCCAGGTGGCTCAGTTGGTTCGAGCGTCATCCCATACACCAAAAGGTTGTGGGTTTGATTCCTGGTTAGGGCACACACTTAGGTTGTGCATTGATCCCTGGTTGGGGTGCATATGGGAGGCAACCAATCAATGTTTCTCTCTCTCTCTTTCTCTCTCTCTCTCTCTCTCTCTCCTTCTCTAAAAATCTCTCTCCTTCTCTAAAAATCAATGAACATATCCTCTAGTGAGGATTAAAAATAAATGTGCTAAAGAACAAAAAAATGTGCTGCAGAAATCACTATGTATAAGAATACTACAACAGTTGGCTTAATGAGTGAATTATCCTATATAAAAAAGGCTAATATGAAAATCGGATTCAACTAGAGGAATCGAAGGAAGATGGCGGCATAGGTAAACACCGGAGACTGCCGCCGTAAACAACCACTTCAAAAATACAACTAAAAGTCGGAACGGACATCAACCAGAACCACAGGAAGGCTGGCTGAGGAGAGACTCTTCAACTAGAAGCAAAAACAACAGCATTCCGACGCACAGAGGAGGCGCAGTGTGGAAAATTTAAAGGTACGGTGGAGCGGTGGTGAGGTGGTGCGCGCGCAAAGCGGGCTGGTGGCTGAGGGCGCGGTTGTCGTTTTCACTCAGGAGTGAGTCTCAGACTCTGGGCTACAGATCCGGGCGAGTCTCTAGGGACCCAGACTCAAACGGGAGAAGCGGGACTGTCTGGCTACGGCCCCTCCGAGGTTTGCAGCGATTGCTGGGACAGAGAGGCAGAGCCCCTGGGGACGGACTGAGAGCGGCCATAGCTGCTCCCTCCCCCCGCCCTGTTGAGCCCGCCCCGCCCAAACCCTGCGCACAGCCATTTGCCAATCGCCTCAGGCAAGGGCTGGACTAGCGCCTCCCCAGAAGACAGACGCTTTCCAAACAGCTGATTCCTACAGCCAGTCGGCCTGGTGGTCAAATCCCTCTAGTGTTAACTACAACAATTAAGGCTTGGCTAGAACAAGACTGCGCACAGAGACCACAAGGGGGTGCACCAAGAAAGCATAAAAGATGCGGAGACAAAAAAACATGACAGAAATGGAGGATATGGAGCTAAGAATCGCAATTTTGAGGGCTTGCCATAAATTTGTGCAGAGCCTCACGAAAACTAATGAGACCCTCGATGCTACGATAAAGAAATTAGAAAGTAAGCATACACGGACTGAAATAAAGAATATTATACCCAAAAGCAGACCAGAGGAGCACAAGAATCAAACCAAAGATTCGACAAAAAACACCCAATTGGAAAAGCAAAATGAAAAAAGAATCCGAAAGTGTGAAGATAGTGTAAGGAGCCTCTGGGACAGCTTTAAGCAGACTAATATCAGAGTTATTGGAGTGCCAGAAGATGAGAGACAGCAAGATACTGAAAACCTATTTCAAGAAATAATGGCAGAAAACTTCCCCCACCTGGAGAAAGAAATGGACTTACAGGTCCAAGAAGCGAAGAGAACCCCAAACAAAAGGAATCCAAAGAGGACCACACCAAGACACATCATCATTAAAATGCCAAGAGCAAAAGACAAAGAGAAAATCTTAAAAGCAGCAAGAGAAAGAGGCTCAATTACCTACAAGGGAATACCCATACGACTGTCAGCTGATTTCTCAACAGAAACTTTGCAGGCCAGAAGGGAATGGCAAGAAATATTCAAAGTGCTGAATACCAAGAACCTACAACCAAGATTACTTTATCCAGCAAAGCTATCATTCAGAATTGAAGGTCAGATAAAGAGCTTCACAGATAAGGAAAAGCTAAAGGAGTTCATCACCACCAAACCAGTATTATATGAAATGCTGAAAGGTATCCTTTAAGAAGAGGAAGAAGAAGAAAAAGGTAAAGATACAAATTATGAACAACAAACATGCATCTATCAACAAATGAATCTAAGAATCAAGTGAATAAATAACCTGATGTACAGAATGAACTGGTGATTATAATAGAATCAGGGACATAGAAAGGGAATAGACTGACTATTCTTGGGGGGAAAAGGGGTCTGAGAGATGCGGGAAGTGACTGGACAAAAATCATGCACCTATGGATGAACACAGTGGGTGGGGAGTGAGGGTGGAGGGTGGGGTGGGAGCTGGAAGGAGGGGAGTTATGGGGGGAAAAAAGAGGAACAAATGTAATAATCTGAACAATAAAGATTTAAAAAAAAAAAAAAAAAGAAAATCGACCAAATGGCAGAATGACTGGTCGCTATGGACGCGGCACTGACCACCAGGGGGCAGACACTCAACACAGGAGCTGCCCCCTGGTGGTCAGTGCGCTCCCATAGGGGGAGCGCTGCTCAGCCAGAAGCTGGGCTCACGGCTGGTGAGCACAGCCGGCAGTGGACATCCCCCAAGGGCCAGGACTGCGAGAGGGCACAGGCAGAGCTGAGGGACCCCCCCGCCCCCACAGTGAACGAATGTCGTGCACCTGGCCTCTAGTTATCTAATAATCCAGATCTTCGTATTCCAGGTTTAATGTAAGATTTAACTGTTAACCTACTATAAATAATTTGAATTTGTGAATCCTGCTTGTGGTTAAAAAAATTGAGAAAGCTTATGTTTATTTTCAAAGCTATATTCTTAGCTAGCTCTTGGATGACAAAATTACAGTGGCTTTTGTATCTGGCCTATAAAAATATAATCTTTCTTGCTAACTGAGAGTTTTCAGATTGTGTATAATCACCAATTGATCAAGAAGGTTAAAGAGGGAAAGTAGTCTGATGGGGCAGCCAAAATTTCAGCCATATCACCCAGTAAATTTTAAGGTTTGAAAATCAAAATGGCTCTCTCTTAATTATGGTGAACCCTAGACTATTAGCACAATATTTATTTTAGTGATCCTCTTACCTTCTCTAGCATCAGTGATCTCTGGCTGGAAGTGAATGGTTGTTAGGCAGAGCATGAGGGTGACAGTGTGGTGATGAGGCAGCGGTGTTAGGTATGGAGAAGACAGAAAGCCTACCTTATTAGCATTAATAGCTAATGAGCACTTATTATGTTCCAGGCCCAGTACTAAGTTTTTTACATATATTATCTAATTTAAGCCTCACAATAATCTACAAGGTAAGTACTACTACTATCACCACTTTATAAAAGAAAAAACAAGCCCAAAGCTCACAAGAACATCAATAGCCAAGGGTCTAGCCAAACTCTACCAAGAGTTTATCATCACAAGTGTTTGGAAATTGTATGAAACTTGGAAAACAGTGGAGTATAACACCACATTGTCTAAGCCTCCTTATTATTGGGCATTTATATTGGAATGTCCATTTAATACCCAATTTCAGTTTGCCAGAACCATTGCTAAACTTTTCAAAAGATGGCTTAATGATAGCTAGTTATCTATATAAAGTTTCTAATGGATACTCATATAAGCTAACTAAACAAAAGATTTAAAATAACCAGATCTGTCAAATACCAAGCTA